TACAGCTAATCTATTCTTTTGTGTTCTCTTCATTTAATACAAGATTTATTGGCATAGGTTCAGATCTGGTTAGGTACATATGATGAGGCCACCATAATAGCTGATCCCTCACCAAGATGGCAAGCTTGGAAGAACTGACTTTGAAGTACCTATTGACAGGGAAAACTTAAGAAACATACATGGCTTGGGGAACAGTATTCAAAAGACACACTGCTTCCTCCAAACATCTCCCTTTATGGCAAGGCAGTTTCCCTATGCATGTAAACATGCCTCTGTAGTTCATGCTGTCAATAGTCCAGGCTGTCCTTCTGCATACAGTATGTTGCTTGCCTTTACTCACCGTTCCTCTTAGGGGCCTAAAACCAACTTGCTGGACTTCTTGTATATCTTTTACTTTGAAGATCCTAACCCAGTTTCTTCTAGCAAGACTCCCTTCAGCAATTGCAGCAGCATCTTCCTTATAGATGCTCCAAAGTATTTAACTAGAACTTGAAACAGCTCTTATTACAGAGTAGGCTGGGTTGTTATCAGGTTTTCTGGTTCTGTGAGACAATGTGCTGTTTTTAAAGTCTCACAAAGTATAGTAGGATGGATTCAGGAGCAACAGTACTGTCTCTCCTTACAGTACTTTGCCTTGAAAAAGCCAGGTTTGCTGGCTTTCAGGAACATTTATTTCTTTTGAATCTTTGTGGTCAAGAGATCCTCTCCTTCCAGACGTTTGGAGTTGACATCACTCTCCACCCCCCCCCCCTGCCCCCAGTATAATCAATAGGGATGCGGTGGCTCAGTGGCTAAGATGCTGAGCTTGTCAATCAGAAAGCTCGGCGGTTTGAATCCCTATCCCTGCATAACAGAGTGAGCTCCCATTACTTGTCCCAGCTTCTGCCAACCTAGCAGTTTGAAAACATGTAAAAATGCAAGTAGGAAAATAGGGACCACTTTGGTAGGAAGGTAACAGCGTTCTGTGAGCCTTTGCCATTTAGTCATGCCAGCCACATGACCATGGAGACATCTTTGGACGGCGCTGGCTCGTCGGCTTTGTAATGGAGATGAGCGCCTCCCCCTAGAGGTGGAAATGACTAGCACATATGTGCGAGGGGAACCTTTACTTTTAACTTATAATCAATAGAGCTTTGCTTGATAGGCTCCAAAGACAGTTCTTGACTAAAAATTAATAGCAGGAAAGGGCACAGAAAAAGCAAATGATAGTGATTTTGTTTAATGGTTGTGATTTTGAATTTATAAACTTTACTTGGATTTTCAAAATCCAAGTGGATCATATCCCCCATTAAAGATATGAATGAAGCTATGAAGGTACTAAGAATATAATAAAAGAAACCCCCTGATACCTGACTAAAGAATTATAAAAAGAATGAAAATTCTTTAAATTGATGAATATAAATAATGACCGTATAAGAGAAGGCACAATGGAAACAATGCTTTTAATTTGGTCATAAAATATCAGGTTTTTTTTTTTCCAGCCTACTGTTTCAACTGCTATATTGAAAGAGAAGAGTATCATTTCCTATTCAAAAGCTCAAAAAAGTAGGGCCAAAGTAAGCGGAACAAAGTTATTGTAGCAACGCTGTCTGTGTACAAGACTGCTTTCTTTTAGTTCCCATAAGCTCACTGTCTAATATAACTTTAGCTCTACTATTATTTACAATTTCAGAAAAGCAAAACACAATAGGTACTCCTGCCCGTGCTAAATCAGCAGAGTCTGTGTTCAGCTGAGAGCAGAGTTCACAACTTCTTTTGAGCTGTTACATAGTTTTGGGTGCATAACAAATAAAAAAACTACCACACTGATTTGGTTTTCGAATGATAGGATAGGGTTATGCACCAAAAACCGAAGGAGGCAAGACAAAGCAGTATGCACAGCCAGGACATTGATTTCATTTACATTTAATTGAAATTACAATTAGTGTGTTTCTATATACTTAACAATATTCCAATTATGTCACAAACATTCACAATTTAGTAGCAATTTTAAAGGAATTGATGGCTTCAGGTCATGCACCTCTACCTAAACACAGTAACTGAATGTGCATATAATCTGTTATGTTATAAGAATACCAAGCTCCATAGCTTGATCAGAAGAAGCCCTGGCTTAGCACTGTATATGAACATCATTTAGAGTGATTCTGTATGGCCAACCCCCAACAGTCGCAATAAAGATATTCTGGATTGTTCATCCTTGTTTGATTTGTATTTCTTTTATTTTTTGGAACACAAAACTGTACATAATGGTCCCAAAGTCACCCAGTCAATTTCATGCATAAAGGAATAGAACTCGTATTCTCATTATTTCTGCCCAGTTCTTAATAGAAAGTAGAGGTAAAGATGGGGAGGAAGCCCCCTGAAAATATGGATTACTAACAGAAGAAAAAAATCATTTGTACCATTCATAAAATATTCTGAATAAACAGGGAAACTGTACGCACACACACACACACCCCAAAAAGCCTGACGTTGCCACCTTCTTTTCATACTTTTGTAAACTGAAGAGTTCAGGATGGTTCAGAATAATGCATACGTATAAACTGCCACGCCTAACCCAAGTGAATAAAATGCTGCTGTTGTTTTTTTCCCATTTCTCAACACCAGCTATAAAAGAAATCGTGTTTAGGGTTATCTTTTTAAAGTTTGGCCAATGGTAATTGGTGGTGTAAATTCCTAGAAATTTACTACTCAATTGTTTCTCTCAATTGGATTGAAAATAAGAGAGAGTGTAATTACAGAATCAAAGCAGACGTGGAACCATGATTGCTATAATTAGGACACCAAATTACCTAGTGAAGTGGCTCTTGAAACCTGAGCCTGTTGCTGAGGAAGAGGAGGAAATGAGATTATAAGCAGCAGAAAGAGAGGCTTTTCCTCAAGCAAAATGCTTTGCACTTGGCATACAGATTCCATACACTTTAACTCAGTAAAAAAATGCTTTGGGCTGATTTGGACACACTTTTAAAAAACAACTTGTGCCTTGGCTGAAGCTAAATTTCCAAGGAAGGAAGACATGGGAAAATAAGGGGTTTCCAAAATATATTAAAGCCATACATTATATTATTATATATACATCTGAACAAGAAACTTTGTGGAGAGGATTAACATACACACCATATCAAAATAAAAGACCAAAAGAGGTGTTTTCTATTCCCACCAAATTAAAGAAAATATTTGGAGATTTCAAGTAGCCCCATCCAAAATGCTGGTATGTTTGAACACAATGAAAGAAAATGGCACATGGATTCGTCTTTTCACATACTGTTAAAGCTTTACCCTACAAAATACCACCTTTTGTGCAGTATTCCCTCATCTCAAGAGATAAGGACAGAGCTATCCAGCCATCCTCCATGAACTTTTGAACAATTTAAATTCTCTGAGGAAAGTGAAAAAGGATTCTCCAAACAGATCTCCCTCACTAGCATAGATCTATTACCTTAAAGAAGCAAGGACCAGTCTCCTCCCCTTCCAGATTTAGGAGACTGAACATTGTTTTTCACTCTTATACAAAACTGTGGAATCTGTCTCTTCCACAGGAACTCCTTCAAAATTCTAGCCTTAAGAACAATGATTCTGCAGGCCTTCTCATGATTGATATTTACACATGCAGAAAGAACAGCTCTGATGATTCTCACTCTAACCAATTCCACCCCACTAAAATGCTTACAGGTTCTACTCCAGTTCATTGGCTATAGATCTCATCTTCACATAGAAGAGAGACCCAATTCCAAATATCTGTGTGATTAATGAATAACAAGTTAGGAAAGAATGTCCCCAAATTTGAGTGGATTAGAAAGAATGGTAATGTGTTTGATATATAAATTGTAAGTCCTAGATTTGGAGCCAACTCATTCCCTTCACCCAGTAATCATTCCTGCTTTTACAAGTCAAGCAAGACTAGTCTAAGTCTTGCTTGATTTGTAGAGATAAGTTTCTTTAAGTCAGGACTGAACAAACAGGCCTGCCAGAGAATTGCTCTCTGGACCAAGAAAAAAACTGTTCTGCCTGTTCCTCCTCCCTCCCTCCCTCCTTCCCTCCAAAGGGATATTACAATTTGGTAATAATGTTAATTAGCTCTTAAGTTACCTGCAAAGTCAGGGCTTCAGTTTGTGAATCTCTGGCTAAGCTTAGGAAAGATTGTACTTAATGGGACTAGATAAATTTTACCATAAGACTGTTTTCTTTGTCTGACAGACCAGCACTGCCAGGCCAAAATTACCTCCTGATTATAGTTGTATTCCAATTATAATAACACAAACTTATTTGAGCGTCAAAAAGTCATCACTACTACGAAGTGTGAACCCTTTGAAGTGGCCTTTCCTATTTTTTATCCAGATTATCACATCTGACTTTTTATAGAAAGCTAGCAATAAATCTTACTCAGTAAAATTGACTCACTTGTAAGATGAAGTGCTTGTCCATACAGTTACAAAGATAACTCTCATTTGACGTAAAAAACAATCCTTTCTTATGTGCAAATGTAATACTGGTTGTTAAAACCCATTTTCTAAACAGGGTAAGGCATCCAGAAAGATTTCTGTACTATTAGAACAACTATCCTGGTGAGTGCTAATCCACCATTTCAGGTAAGAGATTTCTCCAAAATATATTGTGATTTGTTAAGCATGTCCAACTTTTAACAAAAAAGAGCAGATAAACTGAAATGCACAATTCCTTCTATATGTGGATGAAAAACCTATTTCAAAATGATCAGCAGTAATGATCTATTGAAGATAATGCAGAGATCACACAATCACTTCCGGTTTGGTACCACATCAATCACATTTCGCAAAACGTGTTTTGAGAAAGACGGGTTATCTCCCATCTCACCCCACTCTATTAGTTATCAAAATTGCAACTTGCTGCTTCTCCAATTGACCTCACTAACTATGAGGGCTAATCACTGATAAATAAGTACTGACAAAAAACAAAAACAACCCTTAAGATTAGGACTGGAAGAACTTAAGTATCATGTGCCTGCTGATGTCAGAAATGAAACAAGAATTGTTCGTTTCTCAAACTTTCTGTAGCAAAATGTTTGCAAATAAGCATAATGAAACCCCATATTAAAAAATTCATTAACTTTCATTTATTTACATTCGACACTGGAAAAATAAAGATCCCCTTACCCCAACTCTACCTACCTGTAAAAAAATGTAATTAGGTGAACTATCAAGATGCAATAACCTCCCAGCTGTAAGATTTTAGGCATAAACAAAGACATATGGGGAATATGATCCCAGAGACAGAGAAACAAGAATGTGTAGAAGCTGGATTACTAACCTGCAAGAAACATGGGTATATCAATTTTATCCCATCTCAGATGGGGTACCAAATTAGTGCTTTCTACAACTAAGCAGGGAAGGATATCCTATTTTATGCTAACAGACTACATGGTAGGCCCATCCTTCTTAATGTGACATAGGAAGGAGACATTGCTTTCTTAGGTCTGGCTCTATCATTACATTTAATTGCTATCTCAACTGCAGAACTGCCAGAGACGAGAGAGTGACCTTGTGAGTAGCAGCTCTTTGCAAATGCAGCTATAAGAAAACGTTACCATCACACTAATTCTCTTCAATCAGATGGCTATGGAAGGATTTCCTATTGATTTCAGTGCAGCAGCAAAAAGGCATAACATTTGAAACAACAATGCCTTCAATAATTTATTCCTATATTAGAGTTATACTCACTTTCTCTAGCCCATACTTTTACTGTAGAAGTGCATAGAAAAATCCAGTAAGTATTAATAAGCAAATGTAAGCAAAGCACTGATCGTAAGAGGTATTTTGCTGTTCTAATGTTTGTTGCTTTTTCATATAATTGTGTATCACCATTATATTATTCACAATGCTGAGGTAAGCAAAATGATACTTTTTTAATTGAAAAGTTAGAAATTTGTAACTATTGTTCTAACACAATCCTTACATTAGCTTCCTGCATGATTTTGTTTGAAGTGTCTTAAAGATTTGCTAAACGTAATTTTTACTCTTTTAAATAGATAAAATAAACGTTGGTTCCTATTGTTCTTTCTATGAGAGACACTCTAAAATTTCAATCATAACTCAGTTAACCATACAGGAAAATTTAGAGGAATAAGTAAGTCAGATTAACTGGAAAGCACTTCTGGTTTTGTAGTAGCCTTTTAATGCAGCTCCAGTCCTAAACATATTTATTTGGAAGCCATATGAATTTTGTCGGGCCTTATTTCCAAATAAATTATTTTAGGATTGCAATTGAAGCTTATTACTAGGTTACAAAACCACCTAGAAAACCGACATGCCACACAGAGTGCAGCATTTTGCTTGCTCCTGTTCACAAATGTAACAAAACACTCACAAATATAACCCAATTCAATTGAAGCTATAGAGATTTAGTCTATCAGCAAATAGGAAATATTATCTCCTAGGAAACAGGTGTCATCCACTCAATTTACAAATGTGTTTTATCACCGTCTTTGAGTAGATGCCTTTTCTTCCATCTCATTCCCAATGTAGCTAGCAGAGACTCGGAACCTGCACCATAGAAAACAGCAATGGAAATAACACACCTACTGCTTTTTGCTAAAATTAGATTGAAGTGCAGAATCCATGAGGACAGAACTCTCTGGTTTGAGGAAACTGAGAATGAATATGTCACGCTAAGACAAATTGAGAAAGCTACACAGGCATCTGCCCCTGTGCTGAAATCTCATTTGTAAATCTTTCAGATTTCAGACAATTACAACAGGAAAAAGGATGTTTAGAAAACATAAAAGCAATATGTTTTCTCTCAAAATGCAACAAAATCGGTATTAATATTCAATAATATTTATCAATTGCAATTACACTGTGACTCATCTAAAGTCTGATTCAATCGGAGGCACAAGTTGGGAAAACACCCATGATAAGCATAGTTGCTTTTTCTCTTCTTTCAAGACTGAAATAAGCCCGAATGGTGCTTACACATTATAGCACTTACACGCTCAACCTTGTCCCAGAAGCTGAGGATTCTGTGGCACTACTATATACACGTCTTATTTCCAGTTTCTTCCCATCTGCACAACTAAGTCATTTTTTTTTCTCTTAGAAGCTAGTAAGAAAATGACGTCACCTTTCCATTCTGGGACAAGGATAGCAGATATAGCTTTAAAAAAGCTGCCATTTTAATTTTGGAACAGAATAGTTGGCCATGTTTAGTGAACAACAGTATCGGCATCGATATTGTAGCACAAGAGGCCCAGCACTCAAGCTCTACTCTACACTTATTTAGCAATCAATAACCAAAGCAGCCCCAAAGATGTAGGAAAGCCATTGTCAGTTACATGCTGCCACCTGGAGGAAAAAGGAAAAACTGCTGGTTATAAGTCACAAAACAATTTTATCTCCTCTAGGCCTGGTTGACTGTAGATCAGGAACACTATATCTTTGGGCACATGTATTAGCTTCCATGTCTTGAAAGATGTTCCTTTTATAAATCATCATTGCAACAACTCCTCCCAGCAGATCGGTCTAGAAAAAACTTCCCTTTCCAGCCACAAGTCATAATTCATTTGGAAATCTTCAGGCAGTTCCACCCGCTGACCCAACACACTTTGCAAACAGTTGTCAACAGGTAGAAAATCAGGGTTGTTATGTGCCCGGTCATAGCGTCGAGAGTTGAAGCGTTCTATACTGGCCCGTAGAGCACATTCTTCAGCTTGGAAGTCCCATGGACGTGCATCCAGATCTGTGGAGGTCATGAGGAAGACAATCAGTGAGTGCAATTAACTGAGAACAGCTACACTGTCACATTAGAAATGTTCAGACAGCTTACCAAGAAAACTTGGGCATTCAGTGAACAATAGTGACACAATTACATAAAACACAATTTGTCCCTAAACAGCTGAGTTGAGACGCAGCAGTGGGTTACAAGCCTGTCAAAGGTGGCTTAAGTGAGTGATAGAAGAGGAAAGGTCTAGAAATGAAAGCTCCTGCAATTACTACTTTCTCCTTTTGGATCTTCGACTGAAAGAGGACCAGGAATAAGCAAAATATAACTTTCAGATGCAATGTAACTGAAAAGATTGATATGAGAAAATATGGTAGAATTTTTCTCAAAATCGTTTGTAAGAAAAAGACACATTACCCCAGAGCTGAACCTTTTCATTCAATACAAGTGGTCCTTGACTTATGAGCATAATTGAGCCCCAAATTTCCATTGCTAAATAAGACAGTTAAAGGAGCTGCACCCCTTTTTATGACCCTTTTTGCCAGGGTTGTTAAGGGAATTACTGCAGTTGTTAAGTGAATTTGACTTCCCCCCATTGACTTTGTTTGTCAGAAGCTGGCCGGGAAAGTTATGTCAGGCGATCACATGACCCTGGAACAATGCAACTCTCAAAAATACATACCAGTTGCCAAACACACATATTTTGATCACGTGACTCTGTGGAGATGCTGCAATGGTGTAAGTGGAAACCAATCCTAAGCTACTCTTTTCAGTGCCACTGATACTTCGTACGGTCACTAAATGAATGGTTCTAAGTTGAAGACTATCTGTATGGTGCAATGATAAATTACAACTTTAATCATGTTCATTTTTTTTACGGTATGTGTATTGTGCTATGTGGTTCCCTGTAATTAAATGCTATTCTATGGGGAAGAGGTATATTTATCTGCCTAAGAAAAACACATATGAGGCAATACCATTTGCTGATATGTTTGCACAGGGAAAGTAGAGCTCTCCCACAATATGATCCTTTGGAATAGCATTTTGTCCCAGTTCCTCTCCTAGTTAACCCTAATTGCAAATTAACCCCAATTGCAATTAACCCTAATTGCAATTAGTTAACCCTAATTGGTCTATGCTTCTGAGATTGAGGCTCCAGCTTATTGTCTAATTCCAAGAAGAACATGTTTTAGAAGCTTCAGTTACTTTCAGTCCTGCATACCAGCCATGAAAGCATCAACAGTGCTGTACAACACAGATCCTAAGTCCTTGACTTAAAACCATTTAACAAGAGTTCAAAGTTACAACAACCTCAGAAAAAGTGACTTATGACCTGTATTTGCACTTATGACCATTGCACCACTCCCACAATGACATGATCACAATTTGTTGCATGGCAATTGCTTTGCTTTTATGACTGGTTGCAGCTTTCTGTGGTCATGAGATCATAATTTGCAATCTTTTTTGCCATGTTCTGGCAAAAATATTCATTAGGAAAACTGGATTTGCTTAATGACTACATGATTCCTTTAATGACCATGTGATTTCCTTACCCATTATGGTGACTTGACTACTGTAAAAATTGTTGTAAAATTGGGTCCAACTCAATTTATGACCATCAGGATTTATGATGGAAATTCCAGCCCCAATTGTAGTTATAAGCTGAGAACTACCTGTGACAGTTTCTTGCTCATCACAACTAAATATTATTGATAGAAGAGTTCCAAAATGCTATCTATAAGCTCACAATATTATTTATTTACAAGACTGTGAACACTGGAGACTCTCAAGAAATATTATTACTAGGGATAAAATGCATATATTTCCTCATTTATGACATCTCATACGTAGCATGCCATCTTTTTTCAATAATAACAATAGCTGCTACAAAAAGATAAGAATGGCATGACAAAAGAAGCAAGAACTGATGGGACCACTAAATAATAGATAAAGTAATAGTGAATGGAGATACTTTGGGACTTTAGAATTCAAACAGACAAGCACCTGCTATATAACAACTCAGATTTAACAATTGTCAATAAAACATCCAAAAAATTCTGATTAGTGAACAGGGAAGTGTCTAGAAAGAGCAAAATTGAAAAGAAAGAACTAGAGAAAAGTACAAAATACCAAAACTTGCAAAATACAAGTAAAATGACTGTGGCAAAAAAAGCAAAGACAGTACAAATATTAAAAGACTCCTTGGATGTAATCCCAAAACATCTGTTAGCACTACTTGAACATCACAGGAATTGATAAAAACTACTTGAAATAACTTACATCCCGCAACAGTATCTTCAATACCATCAAATGATAACATTTATCTATCCCAGGTTCTTGGGAAAGACTCAACAGATGGATAAAAATGCCAAATCCAAACATCCGGCTCACTTGGCAACCAACCAGAACATGACCTACATGGGCTTTTAAATTTTGCTCTTCACAACTAACTTACCTGCAAAATTGATTTTCATTGATTAATAGCACCTTACCCAAGGCTGTGATGATTCTATACATAAAGTTATTGACAAAGCTATACTTTGTCTTCGTAAAGCATGTCCATTCAGAAAACAATATATCATTACAGCACATTTAGAGGAGAAGTCTGTTCATTAAGGAACATGGACTGCTACCAACAAATCAGCATTCCTGAAAGGTTTACATTGATGCTAGGAGGGTAGAGGCAACAAGAGGAGACAGACACAAGATATATACCATTGCCATAAGCCCAGTCATCATTGAGCCGATGTCGCACTTTTTGGTAGATTGCAGACATAGTTTTCATGTTGCTTTTCCTCCACTGACGTCCCAGGTACTTTGTTTGCACTTTGAGAAGTTTCAATACATAGAGTTGCATCATGGCTTGCTTCACTTTCAGGGCTCTTTTTAGAATGGGAGCAGACTTGAAAACTACCAACATCTGGAAAGGTAAAGTAGAAGATCAGTTGTCTAAGTTACATTGTTGCCTCTGACCTCATTTATACACCCAGGATCAAGATTACGGTAAACGTCCAACAGTATCCAGCGCATCATACATATAAATCTATATAGTGATAAACAAACATATGGAAATATTCCAGCTTACCATGGTCCTAGAGTGTTTCCACTTTGTTAACTTATTCAGTATCCTAAGAAGATTAATGCAAGAAAATAGGTTCCTCCAGCAAAACTGATTATTGTCTCCAGCTTCCTGTAAGGGAAAGCAAAAATATGTATTATCAAAACAGAAGAGTTAATAGAGCCAGCCATGGTAATGGTATTTCTGTCAGATTTTGGCATGTGCCTATCAAAGTAAAATTATAGGTAGTTTTGCTTACCAAACTTTCTGCAGTCAGCTCTGGTAGTTCATGTATCACACAATATGGATAATCCAAAACAGAAATGCTGAAACATAAGAATGCCTGAGTGAATTGCTAGTGATGTAAGATGAAGAAAGTTGTGATGTAAGATGAAAGAAATTAAGGACTGGGTGATCCAGTGGCTGCAGAATCAGATCAACTGATGTTCAACGAAGGCAAAAAATATATCAATTTTACAGTTAAATAAAATTGTAGATAATGTTCTGATAGATTAACCAGTATTGATTTGCCCAGCCCATTATCTATTTTATTAAATATTACTAATCCTTTTATTCCTACCAAATATATTGAACTGGCTTTGTATATAGTAATATCTGCTAGAATACTCTATGATTCTTGGAAAGCAGAAATAATTTCTTCTGTAGAAGATTGGCAAATTAGGTAAAGTATGCATTATTCATAACTTCTGATCAGTTTTGAAGAGTATTTATGGAGATTAGTATCATTAATTTCCATTTCTCTCTCAATCATAGCTCTTATTTTTTGTTAAAAAAACACATCTCTAAGCTATTTACTAGAGCCATTTCTTCAGCAGGCCTCTCTCAACGGCACATTTATTATTTATTTATTAAATTTATTTGCTGCCCATGTCACCATAGAAGACTTTACTCTGTATTCCTACCTGAAAGCAAATACCTGTTATTTTAAGGGCTATATATTTAGTACCATGCACATACTATTTTTACATATGCAATGCTCATCATTCCCACCTACCTATTCTTTGCTGTGATGTATGACATGATGTTCTGATTGAAGAATTTCAATATAAGCGGAATGCAATTGGCAAACACTAGATGTTGAGCCATGTATTCAAACTGGTGAAGAAAAACAGAACAGAGTATGTTAGAGAAGCAAATTCTTCCATCACCTCATCCCACTTCAAGTGATATCGGCTCAAACCGGTGCATACTTACTTGATATACATGATTCAGTTTAAAATGCTTGAGCAGCAGCAGCAGAACAGCAGAAATAGCTTTTACAATAATCTCTTTATGCCTATTCACGTCAACGCCCAGCTTCATGCTCTGTAACACAGTTGTTCTGGAAACCAGACCAGCAGTATTAATTTTTGTGATTGCTATGTTAAATATAATAGTATATATATCATAGGCAGACTTTAAACTTTGGTCCAGCTATTGTTTGTTTCTCGGTGTTGCAAAGCCTTTTGTTTGCAAGAGTTTAAATGAAAATCCAGTCTATGATTCTCTACCAGCCCAATGCATTCAACAACAGACATCTGCTATACATTCCACTCCTTTCCAAACATAGTTGGTCACATTGTAAGACAACCCTAGAACTCTCATTCAAGGAAGGAACACTTGGTGTCTTTAGTTTTAGTTTCAGACATGCTTTCTCTTCAACTCAGCTTTAAATTTTAGTTTTAATTATTTAAACCTCCCTCTTTGAAGCTTTGTAAAATGGAGGGGTGGGGGGAGGTTGGATACTAATATTACTGCATGTTTTATTTCAATATATCTGATTAACGTCATTTTGATCTTACATATAAAATGATACCAAAATTCTAAATCAATATAACTCTAAAACAGAAACTATCACATCGCTATCTGTTTGGGATCTTCTATCTTCATCCATTACATGCACTGCTTGCTTCTTTCTGGCTTAGGACTAAGACTTACGGCATCTCCTCTGGTAAAACATCGGCAAGGATATTGATGGAATCAGTCTTGGCTTTGGAGGTGGGTGCTGCAGCGAGCAGAATCTTCAGCAAGGCAATCTACAAATCATAGTTAAATGTTGTAGCGAAGACTTTCTGAAGCATGGGTAAGAAAGAGGGAACTTCCTAGATATTGATGATGGCAGGATATTAACATAAAGCTTCACAAAATAAAATATATATCAAAGATAAGTTTTATCAAGACAGGATAAACCTGTACAATAGGAATGCTAAAGCAAGCAGCTAATTTCTGCCACAAGAAAATGACGGGAAGATTAAGAAACAGAGAAAGAAACTTCTTAAGAGAGAATATGCACCCAAAAAGACTTCAACTCACCATGTACTGAGGCAGGCTAGGAAGAAGACCCTGGTATAAGATTTCAGCTGGAACTTGCTCAACCTCCTCTTCCCCCTATGAACACAAGCAGATGATTGCAACATGTTTTTCAATTCAAAGTTAACTGGCATATTTTGAACATTTCATTTTATATCCGAATGAAGACAAAGCAACTGTTTACCCTAAACATGTTTTCCAAAGACAGACAACAATTTCAGAGCATCTTAACATACAAACCATTGTATGCAGAATGGAACAGCTATTTTCTGTCATGGTAGATACTCTTATTTGAGAAAGGGGGATAAATGCATTTTAATCATTTCTCTTTCTATCATTTTTCAGACTATCTTGCATGAATGCGAGGAGGAGGTATAAATGATAAACATATTAAAAAATTAAAAGACTAGGTCACACACAGCATCTGCAAATAAAAGAGTCAACGACAAGTCCAATTCTACAAGAGAAATATGTTTTTTTCCCATCACTCTCTCTCTCTCTTTTTTTTTTCAGAAGGATGCCTTTCTTCAACATTAGGCATTCTTCCCAGGACACTTACCCCTGACAAGGGAGAACGCAGATACTCCTCTTCCATTTGAACTTGAATTTCTGCAATAGATGTATATTTGTGCTGTAAAGTAACAAGACACAGAAAATTTACTTCATAAGCCTGAACTGATTGTTCTGTCAAACATTGTCTAAGAAAGTAGCAGCAGCAGCAGCAGCAGCACCAGCAGCAGCAGCAGATGGGATAAAACTGAAAATGAGCCTCTCTGTGAGAGGTTCTCTAAACCTCAAAATGAAAAAGCATGGGCAATCGGAAACTCACCAATTTTAGAGTTTTGATACTCTCATGAATTGGTCTTGGCAATCCCACTACGGTGTTGGTGTCACTGGAGAGAAAAAGGAAATGGAAAAACTCAGCTGGTAAAAATGTAAAAAAAAAAACTGGTTATTTTGTTAAACTTGCAAACAGGAGTATTACAAACAACGGCTTTTACAGAAAGACAGTTCAGTGTAATAGGTAAGAAAAAGTGTAAAATTTGGATAAATTCTGGAACCTAAATAAAATAGAAATTATAAAGATACTATATATGCACATATGTATATGTATTTTAATCTTAATAATATTTAAGTCTTTCTTAAAGAGTTATGAGAATCAGTTTGATGTAGCCGTTAAAAGCTCCAGCTTAGAAACTAGGACACTGTAAGATCTAGTCCCACTTTAGATACAAGATCAGCTGGATGACTGTAGGCCAGCCACACTTTCCCAGCCCTAGAAAGAAGGCAACAGCAAACCATTCCCAAAAAATGTTGCTAAAAAAATTGCATCAACATGTCCATATAGTCATCAGGAGTCAAGACTGCCTCAAAGGCATCTTGCTCCTCAACCCCCATCCCCCGAAGTTACAGGTAGTTCTCAGATTAGAATAGCAATTAGGCCATCACTAATTAACATGGCCATAAAGTATGGTGTCACATAAGCATGTTGCTTAGTGATGGCAGTTCTGCCAAATTCCTTGCCATTATTAAGTAGCACCTCATATGACTGCAAATTCCAATTTCCTGCAGGCTTCCCCATTGACTTTGCTTGTGCGAAGTTGGCAAGGAACATCAGAAATTGCAATCATGTGACCATGGCTCACTGCAACATCATAACTGCAAACCAGGAGACTAGACTGTGGTCATACAACTGGAGAAGCTGTGATAGCCAGAATTCTGAGGATCTTTATAAATGACTCTCATTTAGTGCTGCTGCAAGTCTTAATGGTTACTGAAGGAATGGTTGTACTATAACCTAAGGACATTCTATAGTACACACAAAATAACTTTAAAAAGGTTTTCCAAAGAAGGGTAGTGATGTATTTACACTTTTGAAATGACTTTATGAATTTATTTGAAAGAGGGAGTGGGGAATTTAGTGCTGGGCATATTGTGCAATAATAGTATACACATGTTACAGTAATGGCATCAGCAAGAATAATTAAGACAATAAAACTTCATATTCCGGTATCATAATATATATAAATATTTGTACACACATATACATATAATTCAAATTACCAACAATTAAGTTTAGTTTAATGGCCAACATGCCAATTAAGCTGCTTTAACTCACCTTCCCAAGGTATAGCCAATAAATTTGCTTCGACTAGATTCCAGAAACATCTCAATATCTTTTTCCCTACAGAAAAGAAACCAAATCAACATTCAATCAAACTGAACAGAAATCTACTGTAGGGATTAGCCAGTGCTGGCCTTAGACATATTTCCAACTCTACATCTAAGGGCAATTGCACATAACACATATATCCTTCTTACTATAATTAGCCAATCCTTGAATTCATTGAAAGCAGCAGACATTGCATATATATACTTTCAAGTACTAAAAGTACTTTAAACAGTCTTTGGTGCTGTTGGTTTTCTTGGCTGAAGATGGTAATTGAGAGATCCTATACCAGTCTTTCATAATCCCAAAACAAAGTGCATTCAAAAAGTATTCAGACCCCCTTCACTTTTGTCAATTTTGTTATTCTGCAGCCTAATTTTACAGTTATTGAAATTCTTTTTTTCTCATTAATCCGCACTCAGTATCCCATAACGACAAAGTGGAAACAGAATTTTAGACATGTGTGTAAATTTACTAAATTTATTAAAAAGAAAAACAACTGAAATACCATATATCATAATCACATAACAAAATTGACAAAAATGAAGGGATTCCCAAAACTTTTTGAATGCACTGTATATATACACTTGCTGGTATGTTTTGTTTGCTGTGTAGCTATGCATCTAGATTATGCAAACCAAGTCTCCCTGGAAGTACAATAGGAAATGGATAAAGTATTGCCCAATTCAAGCATTTCCCCAAATCACCAACCTATAAAGATTGTCACTGTAAACACACAGCTTATTCTCATCATCTGAAACTCAAGAAGCTGATCTTTAAACTTAAAGAAGATTTTTCTTCATTTCAACCATCCTGGCTAAGGACTGACCTGACTTTGGGTGCCCAAGGCAAACCTTTTGGACATGTCAGTCGGTCAGTTGGAGGATGCTGCACAGGAGGAGGCATCACTTCATCTCTTTCAAGAGGAAATGTCTCCCCCTCAAGACTATTGTCTTCATCATTCTCCTCCTCATCTTCTCGGGAATCATCGGCTTTGTAAGGATCTCGCTCATTGAATGCATCTAGATTATCCTGTTTAATAAGAGCCTGGAGGAACAAACATTCAAGGAGAGGCTAGTTAGTTCACATTCTGCATCTCAACACTATTTGTTTCTACTGCTAAAGCTTTCTGGTTATTTTTTTAATATATTTTTTCTTAATAATTTTAATTACAACAGTAAAAACTAATATAAAATAAATTAGAGAAAGATAAGAGAATGGAAATAAAAAGTGCATGGAAAAAGAAAAAATGAATACATAAAGAAGTGATTTCCAATCTTGATCACAAATGTAAACAAAGTTAATAACACTTCACTTCCTATAAAGTTAAACAGATTTTTCTTCATCCTGTATTAAATCCCTTATCTATAAGCAAATCCATAAAATATCAAATTTTCAATCCCAGTGTCAGCGAACTTTTTAGATAAAAAAACCCTTATTTAGCTTTTTGCTATTTATTTCAAATTCTTTCAGTTCTTGTAATTATTTTTTCTTTTGTTCAGAGGTGATGATAAACTAGAGTAATATGATGAAAACTTCAAGCCTGTCATTCTGAAGATCTCTAAGAGCTTTAAGAAAGTTAATAGGCAATTTCCAAAAGTAATTAGAAAGTGAGATCTAAGTGTTGTTTAAAAGGTTCTGCTGCAGTTGTGAGAAAGATGACTGATCCTATCATATTTAGGCACTCAAATCTGTGGAAAACTACAATCCTGTGGTTTCATGAGAAGCAGCCATCTGGAGTGGATATGTGGACAATCTCCTGTCAACTCCTTATCCAGAGAATTCCTTGGTCTTTGCTGTCACTGTTGGTTATGCAAAAAGTTGCCATACAGTTCACCATACTTCCCCCAGAAGTTACGAAGTCCTATAGTTCTAAAATTCACCTTGTGTTCCCGACGACCCCGTTTCTGTTGCTGCTCAATCAAATCTGAAGCCGATGCTGGAGGTGACGCAGCTCTCATGTTGCGGATCACTTTTATGCTATCCTCAGGAAGTGGGGGAAGACCCAGCATCTCTCGTTTCTCTGCTTTCATATCCTGAAGCTCTTCAAATCCTCCAAGGGTGCACTAAAAGGATAGCAAACACCCTGAACTTTGGTCCTGTGATTTACCCCTCAGATGCCTGTCAGTTGGTGAACTATCAAGAACTTTGTATTTTTTGTGTAATTCTAAAATACTTTTATGATGTGTAGTTTTGTTCAGTTATGTATTGTAGTAATTCACTTAATAGTAATTTATCATCCCCGGTATTTTGATTTTTCTAGACAATTTTAGAAATAATTGTGTGTACTTAAATACAAAGACATTAAATCCCTGGTCCAGCACTGGGCCACAACTGTAGCTAATATTCAACCTGCTTCACAATCCTTTTTCCAATTAACATTTAAAGACTCTTGTATGGGAAGAACCTCTGACCCAAGGATTAAGATTACAGTGTATGCTTTCTGTCTGTTAATGAGCAGGACTCCTGGAAAGGCTGGCAGCAACTGAAATAATACATTTAAGAATGATGAAGGAATGAGGCTTTCCCTCTGGCCGTAACAGCTCTGCTACAATATGGAAAAGAGTTCTCCAGCAGTCTGTCAAAGGATATATTATTCTGGAAAATGAAAACTATTACATGAGGAAGTTTTTTTTCCACCAGTGTGATAACATTTTACAGCAAACAGCTGAACTGGAAATTGCCCAACAATTAAGGGTACCAGCATGGCAGCAATGGAGAGCTATGATGGAAAGTGGGTTTTCTTTTTCTCAGAGACTGCTAGAACAAGACCCTACAATTTTCTTGACAATATTTTTCAGAAGTGTTTTACCACTGCCCCCTTTCCATAGCTGAATGTGTCTGCTAGTTTTGTGCTCATGGTGGCACTGGAACTCATGGTCTTTCAGTTTCTACCCTGATGCCTTACCCACTACACTAAACTGGATCTCTGAGAAGAAATTTACTTGCCTCCAATTTTAATAAGTTATGGTCTATTAATTTCACCAAGTTGGTTTCTCCTGCAATCCCTCCTATCTCAACTTGAAATTGTTCATAAAGATACACAAAGAAGGAACCCCACTTAGACCAATAGTCAGCTCCATAGGCTCACCTCTACAAAACTTAGCCAAATTTCTCACCAAACAACTACAGCCCTATGCAGAATACATCAACTCACACGTAAGAAACTCATTCCAGTTCATTGAGATCATAAAGAAACAAAACTTACAACCCAGCGACCTACTAGTGAGCTTCGATGTCATATCCCTCTTCACCCAAGTGCCTATAAAAGAAGCCTTGATAGCCATCCAAAACAAATACAACCCCCACAAACACATCCTAGATCTGACCAACCACTGCCTATCCAATACATACTTCACCCTACAACGGACAAAAATACAAACAAATAGAAGGAGCACCCATGGGATCACCCCTCTCACCTGTCATCGCAAACCTCTACATGGAACACTTTGAAACACAAGCGCTAGAAAAATATGATCACAAACCCAAACTCTGGCTCAGATACGTAGATGACACCTTCATAATCTAACAATCAACTTCCCTTCCTAAGATATCTTAGTACACAAAAATTCCAATGGCTCCCTAGGACACACCATCTACCAGAAGAAAACACATACAAACCGCTATCTACACGCACTCTCACACCACCACCCAGCACAGATCAATTCCATAGCCGAGACACTCATCTCCAGAACAAAATGCTTACCCGACGAACAACACCTAAAAACCGAACTACACACTCTCACTAATGTACTAACAGCCAATGGATTTCAAAAAAAGAAGATTACCCACCTAATCCAAAAAGAAACCCCAACCAAAATCCAAGACAGAGAACAAGAGAACGGCAAAGTCCTCCTCCCATATATAAAAGGCACTACAGACAAAATCAGCAAGATCCTCCAAAAACACAACATTAACATTTTTCTGCACAAACAGAAAAATATCCACCATCCTAAGAAACCCTAAAGACAAAATCGAGTTAGAAAACCAAGGAGTATACGAAATCCCTTGCACCACCTGCCCCACCACATACATCGGACAAACTAACAGAAGAATAAGTGCACGCATTCAAGAACACAAGAACTCAATCAAAAAAGAAGAACCAACCTCTTCCCTGGTCCAACACCTCAAAGCCACAGGACATGAGATTGACTTTAAAAATACCAGAACTATAGCCAAACTGAACACTTCAACAACAGAATAATCAGAGAAGCCATAGAGATAGAAAAACGCCCACACAGCATGAATAAACGAGATGATACCTCCCGCCTACCAGCCATTTGGAAACCCGCCCTCATTAACAAACAAGTACCTAACATGAAGAATGACACCAGACCCACACCCACGAGGGCCACACAAGATGCTACCACCACACTTCCACGTAGAAAGCAGACTCACAACCACACAGAAGATGAGACCACAGACCAGAAGCCATACCGCAGCTGCATCACTACCCGCTTCAAACCCCTCTGACCCATACATGAAGCGAACTGACGCCCACCATGAAGATGTGGCATGACCACGAACGCGAAGCCAAACAACAGGATCACAGCTCACCAGCTCAAATCCCCCAGCAACTAAGACTAACCTGAGCACAACCAAGCCCCCACCTGAACAAAACACACCCCCAGTCAATCAGAACACAGCCAACCCCCCTACCAATCAGAGCACAGCCAAACCCCCAACCAATGAGAACACACCTCCAGCCAATCAGAACACAGCCAAGCCCCCACCCAATCAAGTCACACACCCCACTAGCAGTTAAAAGGAAGAAGCAGCTGCAAGCTCACATCACTCTGAGAAGCACAGAGCCGAAGACACAAGCCTGAAGATGATGAATGAGACTTCATCGAAACGTTGCCTAGATACTTCCAATCTTACACGGGAGAAAACCCGAATAACCAAAGATCCACATACAAATACCCGCGAGAACCTCAGAAATATATATATATGTATGTATTTGAAACACAAGCTCTAGAAAAATACGACCACAAACCCAAACTCTGGCTCAGATACGTAGATGACACCTTCATAATCTGGCCACATGGGAAAGAAAAACTGAACAACTTCCTCACACACCTCAACAGCCTACACCCCAAAATACAATTCACCATGGAAACAGAAGCCAACAACCAACTTCCCTTCCTAGATGTCTTGGTATACAAAAGATCCAATGGCTCCCTAGGACACACCATCTACCAGAAGAAAACACACACTAACCGCTATCTACATGCACTCTCACACCACCACCCAGCACAGATCAATTCCGTAGCCAAGACACTCATCTCCAGAACAAAATGCCTAGCCGATGAACAACACCAAAAAACCGAACTACACACTCTCACCAACGTACTTACAGCCAATGGATTCCAAAGAAAGAAGATTACCCACCTAATCCAAAAAGAAACCCCAACCAAAATCCAAGACAGAGAACAAGAAAACGGCAAAGCCCTCCTCCCATATATAAAAGGCACTACAGACAAAATTAGCAAGATCCTCCAAAAACACAACATCAAAACAGCATTCTGCACAAACAGAAAAATATCCACCATCCTAAGAAACCCCAAAGACAAAATCGAATTAGAAAACCAAGGAGTATACGAAATCCCCTGCACTGCCTGCCCTACCACATACATTGGACAAACTAACAGAAGAATAAATGCACGCATTGAAGAACATAAGAACTCAATCAAAAAAGAAGAAACGACCTCTTCCCTGGTCCAACACCTCAAAGCCACAGGACATGAAATTGATTTTAAAAACACCAGAACTATCGCCAAAACCGAACACTTCAACAGCAGAATAATCAGAGAAGCCATAGAGATAGAAAAACGCCCACACAGCATGAACAAACGAGATGACACTTCCCGCCTTCCAGCCATTTGGAAACCCGCCCTCATGAACAGACGAGTACCTAACATGAAGAAGGACACCAGACCCACACCCATGAGAGCCACACAAGATGCCACCACCACACTTCCATGTAGAAAACAGACTCTCACCCACTCAGAAGATGAGACACGACCATGGACCAGAAGCTGCACTACAGCTGCATCACTACCCACTTCAAACCCCTCCGAGCCATACATGAAGCAAACCGACACCCACTATGAAGATGCAACAGGACCACGAACTAGAAGCCAAACAGCAAGATCACAACTCACCAGCTCAAATCCCCCAGCAACTAAGACTAACCGGAGCACAGCCAAGCCCCCACCTGAACAGAACACGCCTCCAACCAATCAGAACACGGCTAACCCCCCAACCAATCAGAACACAACCAAACCCCCTACCAATGAGAACACACCCCCACCCAATCAGAACACAGCCAAGCCCCCACCCAATCAAGTCCCACCCCCACTGGCAGTTAAAAGGAGGAAGCAGCTGCAATCTCACATTACTCTGAAAAGCACAGAGCCGGAGACAGAAGCCTGAAGATGATGAATGAGACTTCATCGAAACGTTGCCTAGATACTTCGAATCTTACGCGGGAGAAAACCCGAACAACCAAAGATCCACATATAAATACCCGCGAGAACCTCAGAAAACAAATATGTATGTATGTATGTATATGTTTTCTTAAGTTGAATACCATACATACCATACAAAGCTGAATACCATACATACATACATACATACATACATACATACATACATATTAGGATTCTTTATAGAATTCTTTATTGGCCAAGTGTGATTGGACACACAAGGAATTTGTCTTGGTGCATATGCTCTCAGTGTACATAAAAAGAAAAGATACATTCGTCTAGAATCATAAGATACAACACTTAATAATAGTCATAGAGTACAATAAGCAATCAAATCATACTAGGAAACTGTCAATTAATTCTAATAAATGAATGGGTGGTCTCATTTCATATTTACAGCAATGTCATCACTAATTTAATAAAATGTCAATGGCAACTTGAAGTTTGCAGGTTTAGCTTAATGGAACCACTTGCATTTTTTCAAGCAATTGGTAATCAGGTGGAATTTCATTATGTAATGAACATAGGAAAGCAACAATAGCATTATTCTAGCAGTATCTCAACAATTTTGGCAAAAATATGGTTATAATTTTGAGAGTTAATTTAGTGTAGTGTTTAAGGCATCAAGCTAGAAACTGGGAGCTCTAGGGCATGAAATCAGCTGGGCCAGGCACTTTCTCTCAGCTCTAGGAAGGAGGCAATGGCAAACCACTTTTGAAAAAACTTGCCAAGAAAACTACAGGGATCTGCCCAGGCCATCTCCAAGAATCAGACACATTGAACATAAGAAAAAAATTAATATAGTAGAAGGAATAAAATAGGCCCAAAGCATTGCAGTGGAAATGTTTTCAAATTTAATAGATTTATATTATTGTACATTATAGTTCAATGTATTTGTGCAGGGAATATGGCTATAAGCCAGATATACTAACTGCTAAAAATAAGTATCTGCTTATTTTTTTCACTAACATACAGAACAGAGATATTTTTCTCGACACTGTTCAGGATCATGCCTCAGCCATCAATGTTTATTTATTTATTAACACAATTTATATACCAATCCAGTCACATGGGTCTGAGCACTCATAAAGAGGGTGTAAAAATGTGAGAACTTTTAGTGGTTGTAGCTTTCATCTAGGACAGGGGTGTCAAACTCAAGGCCTACAGGCAGGATCTGGCCCATGGGGTGCTTAAATCTGGCTCGCAGGGCTGGCCTAAGAAATAACAAAGATGCAGCAGTACCTCTGCTAGTGAAACAGGGTGCGGGGGGGGCACACATGGTCCCCCTGTGCCCCATTTTGGCTGGCAAATTGCTGGAGCCATCCAGGCTGAAAATGGGGCATTGGAGAGGGGTGCACATGCCCCCCTGTTCCCTGTTTTGGCTGGCGAAGTGCTGCAGGAGGCCTTCCAGGCTGAAAACGGGACACAGGGAGACCGTGCTCAGCCCCCCGTGCCCCATTTTGGCAGGCAGGATGCTGCAGGAGGCATCCGTGCCATCTCCCCCACCCCGGCCAGCCCGTGGAGAACTACAGTGCTGATCCAGCCCTCAAAGAAAACCAGTTTGACATCCTTGATCTAGCACAAGGAACAAACAGACTATTTGGACATCCTCACAATGGCTTGCACATATTGTTGAATTATAATGACATGCTATACTAAAAATAACTTTAGACCTAATAATGTTCCCTAGCTTTAAATTACTATATTGCCATCACTTCAGCATTGTACCAACCACCAATCTAAAGCTATAAACAAACAACCTGATGAAGCATCATATATTTGTAAACAGGAGCCTCTTACCAGGACAGTCTTCCAGAGCAGCAGCAACACTTTCTTCATAGGAAAATGTGGGGCATGGCCACTGCAGAATTTGGTGACCATGCCGAAGAGCATCACAGAAAATGGTTCATTGTTATATAGAGGTGCCCCTGAAAAATAATATGTTGGTAACAAATGTGTCACATGAGACCACTGAATTTTTGTGCTACATATTTGAATATCTATGGAGATACTCAGTCATCTAGGTCATGGTTGTCTCAAAGGTGCCTTTTCCAAAGACAATTGGACTTTTCTTTTCCTTTGAAGAGGTTTTGCTTTTCATCCAAGAGGCTTCCTGGATGAGAAGCGAAATGTCTTCGAGGAAAAACAACATCCAGTTGCCTTTTGAAAAGGCACTTTTGAGTATTTGAACATCATTCTCTACTGTCAATCCAATAAAGCTTCTGGCTAATTTGCCATATTTTTCAGAATAATTTTCTGCTCATTCTGTGTTCTTGTACATAGTTTAATCCAGTTAAATAATAAACTTATATTTGCAATGATGGCATTCATTTAACTCCAATAGTGTAATTAATGTAATCATGCTCCATGCATCAAGATTCATCCTGCTATCCTCATTCTTGATTTATGAGAACATGCAACAGCAGTTATGTTTGGGTAGTGTTTTGCATACAGTAAAGAGTGGGACTTGCATCGTCATCATACTGCTTTTTCCACCTTGTCTGTTCCAGTGAACACAATAATTCTGGGGACTAGAAGGAATCAAGGCCTCATGGAAAACCATGCCTCCTATCTGCTTTCTTCACTCTGTTCTCAAATGTGTGAACTATTGTCTCACAGGAAGCTAGAAGGCAGATGCTAATATCAAAACTTAGAATTTGGTGTTTATATATATTATATCACATGCTGCAACAAATAACATCAATAATGGTCCATGATTCCTCATACATATATTGTAGTTTTTCCCAAGAGTAAATGAAAAACAAATAAGTCCTAGGGTGCCAGAAGTCAAAGCTCAATCATCATTTTAAAGAATATTGTTTAACAAGCAAACCATGGCTTAAGGTGATGTATGAGTTCAGTTAAAATATTCAGTAGAAACTTGGAGATCAACTAGTTGAGAACTTTGTTCAGTGTAGGTATCTATAATTACAACATAATCCAGTGGACCATAGCTGGGTTCACACAGAATACTAGGCTAAAATTTAGCTAGTCTGTAATTCACTACGTTTATGAATATAGACAGTAACTCTTATGTTTAGTTTAGTTTAGTTTAGTTTACTTTATTGTCATTGCACCTCATACAATGAAATTAAATACCATCTTCAGTGTACATTAGGACTATGAAAATAAACACAAACACACATCCTTCACATTATATACATTGAATTGAAAACCCCTGAAATTGCATTCATATTGCACTATACAGTAGAATTCAATAGAGTTACTGCCCTGGGATAGAAACTGTTTTTCAGCCTATTTGTCCTTTTTATTATCCTGTACCATCTGCCAGATGGTAATAGTTCAAAAAAAGTCCCCAGGATGAGACGGATCTTTGAGAATGTTTTGAACTTTCTTAAGGCAGCGGAAGATATAAAGCTCTTCCAAAGAGGGGAGAGGGCAACCAATGATCTTCTGGGCAATGACATTAACCCCTTAGAGTGCTTTCCTATCTGCCACTGTGCAATTGGCAAACCATACACATATGCAATAAGTTAAGATACTCTCTATGGTGCAGCAGTAGAAGGTCACCAGCAGTTTTTCATTCAGTTGTTGTTTTCTGAGAAGTCTCAGGTATATAATCTCTGCTGGGCTCTTTTGACCAGTGCTGCAATGTGAGCACCCCAGATCAGGTCCTTTTTTATGGTAAAACCCAGAAACTTAAAACTGGCCACTTGCTCCACTCAGTCTCCATTGATAAGCAAGGGCTGGATGTCTGATCTGTCCCTTCTATAGTCCACTATAAGCTCCTTGGTCCTATTGATGTTGAGGACCAAGTTATTGTCTCCACATCACAAAAGCAACTGGTTCACCTCACCTCAGTAGGCAGACTCATCCTTCCCGGAGATGAATCCGACCACTCACTCTTATGTGAGTTAAATCAAATTGAATCCAATGACGCTTACTGAAGAACGGAATGTGGACCTGCCCTGAAGTAGTTCAACATTCTATTGACCACATTAGTTTTGCCCATAGAAGATCCTAGCTGAACCCCATTAGGAAATATGCAGAAATATGCAGGTTTTTTTTTCCAGCCTGAGACTTTTAAGAGCCAGTGTTCATTACAATAGATTTGCATACTGGACTACAGCAAAATATATTAATCTAGAAGTGGGATCATGGCAGAAAGTTTCTATGCTACATATGCAAATCCGGAGCTCAGCTCTCCATTAAAAAATTGGGATTAAAAACAAGCCACAATGCTATAATGGTTTGATTCTGGTTCAGTGCATCATATCATCAGCTAGCTATATTTTTTTCAACAAATTGTCGTTAATTTATTAGTTTAGTTTGATATGAGAAATAGAATACAGTGTTTAGCTAAATTTCTTCTTAGATAATTGTTCAAGGTTAAAGCCCAGGTTCTGCTGCATATTAAACATGCTTACCTGTAGTAAATCTCACCTATCTCAATAACAGTGAGAAGACATATGTAAGACTGCCCTGTAAATTGGGCAGTCTTTAAAGGTGTTCCAGATATAGTAGTAGTACTATAATAATAGTAACACAGCCTCAGTATTGAAACTTCAATGATGTCTGAAAGGGGATCAACATTTCCTGAGACTTTCCCCCTGCCAATTAAATTTTGTATATCACTCTCCTGAAATCCCACCAGAAGAAGGATGGAGAGAAGCTTTGAGGTAATAATGAATGTCAATGACTTTTTCTCTGCGCACAGTTCAAATGAGAAGAATGCCTGGGAAGTGCTGAGACAAGCAGGGCAGGCAACAATGATGGTGATTGTGAAGGGCAATGGAAAAAGAGATATATATTGGAAGCAATCATGAGCTGAGATCTTAGGAATAAAGACCTGTCTTAGTAAACAATATGGGGATGCTGACTCTGACTATCTGGCAGCACTGATTAACACAAAATAAAAGTTCTTTCTCATATTAGTATAGCCTTTTCTGACAACAAAATAACCCTATCTTTGTGAGCAAATGCTTTTTAACTAGCTAAATTCCGAATCGTGAGCGAGAACGACATACCTAGCTCAGCCCTGAAGGTCTGTCTCATTGTCTTCCACTCAGGCTTATCTCCTTCACAGTCTTGACGGACAGTCTCCAGAATAAGGTACATAATGTTCAGAAGCACCCTGCAATCAAAGACTGAACAGGTTAGAAGGAGAAAGCCCAGACAACACTGTTGGCTTCATTGAAAACTATCTTACAAAACAATAAGCAAAGTAAATGAGCCATCCCTCATAATGTTCCCATGCATGACACTGAGGCTTTTAAAAAGATGTTACATTTGAAATAACAAATTTTACAATAATAGCTAAACACTTTATTTTTGGTCCATGTCATTATTTTGAGGGTTAATGTTGCTTAGCAACATTTACTTCTTAAAGAAAAATACACTATTTACAGAAAAGATTCTTATGCAAAGCAAGGGCATGTTAGGGTTTTTTTAATAGTCAGCCCTTTTTTAAATAGACAGTGGCTGACAGATGGTTACAATGAATAATATAACAAGGTCTCTGAAGAAGTCACAGCTTGAATTTGACCTAGTATTTTCATCTAAATTGTGGCAAAAAAAAATAATTAACATCGTGTCGAGCTATATAAAGAATGTTGGAGGCTTAAACACAACTATTTCTGTTGGTTTCCCACCAAGAATGCTGGGGAAATACACCACTGAGATTTGGTGGTTTGGGGAGATTTTATGCCTATAAAAATGGGGCTCAGAAGTAGGATTCACTAAGCTGGATGATTTAAAGCTTTGCAGTATCTTCTGGGAGACTAGAATGTTTTAAAGTCATAGTGAATCCACAGTGCAAAAGTATTCACCCTAAGCATGTCCTATTCAGCATCTGATCTTATTTTATTTCTCTTCTTCACTGCCCTAATAACGGCATGCAATACATTATGGCAATTGAAAACCAGATTTTATTAATAAGAATATATCAATCTAACATGGAGCAAAAAAGGTAAAACATTCTTTTAACAAAAAACCCACCACACTCTCATGTTTTTGATAGTGCATACTGATATGCAATTGCTCACCTCAAATCTGTGCTGTCAGCCAGGGAGATAGCAGGTTTCCTCACTGCACTGCTACAGGCAGCACTGTTACTAGAAAAAGAGAAAGAAATGTCTGCTTTCTAGGCCACACCACCTTCTGAAACTAATGTCACATTGGATAGTAGATAAACAATGGCATGGGTACTGTGGGCGTACTGGATTGCAAAGGCATTCAATCTCTTCTAATTCCCTCTCTTATCCAACAGCAGTTATCCAATTTAGTTGTTGATTTGATTACCTAGAAAGGATCTAGTGAGAGAAAACTCATCTGCCTCATAGTATGAAACTACTAGAAAGTCAGGAGCAACTTCTAGTTACCTTTTGAACAATCAGTTAGGAACTATGTTTGATCCAACTAATGCAAAAACAAGGCTCTGAATAACTGCATTCAAATTGTTTACTTTTTCTGTCCTCTCAACTCTCCTCATTCTGTAGTAACTATCAGCTCAGTTCCAGATATGCCTATGACAGAACCCACATCTTTTCCAGAAATTAAGTAAGACTGCATACATCCCCCTGTTCAAAACTATGCAGGCAATCTATGGATTATTATAGCAATTGGGACCAGAATTTCCCTAGCTAAGCAAGTTCCCTTGGGAAGAGGCAGTGAAACTGTGTCCAGGCAAGTAAACTGGCAGAAAAGGCTATGCACCAACTGTTGCTAAGGAATGTACGTGGGTACTATGAAGTGACTGCAGGACGCTGCAACTGTAATTGTGAGTCAGTTGCCTGAATTATGTCAGTTGCCATAATTCAGTGCCTGAATTATGATCATGTGCAATCATGTGGTTGTTAACTTCAAAGACTTCTCATTCAGCAACATCACAACTATGAATCAGTACTAAATAAGTGATTGTAACCTGAGGACTACCTGTATGTTTTTTGTGTCTGTTTTTAGCCTTTATTTCCTCTCAAAAGACATGTACGCATATTTATTTTAACAGAGGTTTTTTAACTTGGTCCAGATTAGTTTCTAGCTGACAAGCTCACCAAAGATATTCTCAAAATGATCCATTCCAGAAAACTTTTCTTTGTTGTGTTAAAAGTAACAGAGAAAAGGAGATGGAAATACCTGTAGTACTACCTACTACATTTTTTAAACTATACTCTGAATATTGTTTCAAATAAGTAATTTTCAATGAAATAATTAGATAAAACTGGATGAACAAATAGCATGTTTCCTTCATAAGCGGCAAAAATATATATCTCGATGAGGCAGATCATAATCAGGATGTCTAAAGAGCCTGTATTCTTTTCAGAAGCCCCGCTGTCACAACATGAAACTCACTCAATTTCCATGTTCAAAAGCTCCACCAAAGCATTAAATGTTCCAACTTCAAGCAGAAGAAAAATGTTGTATCGCATCCAAAACTGAACCTCAGCTTCTGAACTACACTCATCAAATGTGCCTGAAATTAATAAAAATATGATGCATTTCAGGAAAGATTGCCCTTGTTAGATCAGAGCAGAGAAACTACAACATTCAACTAATAAAAGAAATATAAAATAATATTAACAGAGAAGCTATGGTATCAATTTTCCAAAAAGTATATGGAATCACAGCCATTTCAAATCATTTCTAGGACCGACCGAACTGGAAATTTGTTACAGAATTAAGTAATAAAACATGCGGGTTGATAAGTTTTCATTATACTGACTCCCTATGGATAATATACAGATGAGTCTATATTGAAATTAAAGCAAGATAATGCATCTATGTTAATTATTATATAACTAACTAGAAATCAGAGAGTTTTATATATAAAATTGAAGTCTTTTTGTAAAGTTGAGGCACAAAAATAAATTTTCACTACTTTTGGTTTGTGATTGTATTTCTAGAATCCAGTTCTAACATTTGTGAATAAAAATGAAATTGGTCCAGTAATTCAGTTATTAGGCTGAATGGAAATATAAATTCTTTTATATTTAGATATAAATATAAAAGATAATTTTTGCTGATTTTGTTAGCATTTCTTTATCATTAAAAGGAAATATTGGTGGGGGGAAAATTATGTTAAGACATCATAATTAGTAAGTAAGACTAAACAGTTTCTCTGAAAGATACAAGCATACCTTGTGCAACATAGAGAATGGCTCGAGCTACCCTGAGCCTTTTCTCCCGAGCTGTGACCTCAAGGCCATCAAGAAGTCTCATGGCATGAGTATGATGTTGCTTAGTGTCCAGTTCTGTCCACTTTTTATCCAGCACTAGAAATACAAGTTATTTGAAATCACAACATAGCTTCGATCCCTTTCTTCAAAAAAAGTAACTGTTACAGTAATAAAAAATATAATTTTGTGCAATGGCCATTAAAAAGTGATTGTAATCTTATGTGCTTTCAGCTATTTCCTCCAAGATCTCAGCTTATGTAGCATTAATGAAATGTTGTGACATTTTATTTATGAGATTTTCTGACTTTACAAGATTCTGGCCAACTGTAATTAAGAAACTTATATTTTAATTTTGGATAGCTTCAGATTTTATTTTATGGTATTACAAGATCTTATGTCATAGGTCCATGTTGCTCACCCTTGGACTAGACTATTTTTAGCCCTATCAACAAAATTTAGTTGTTTCTATAATATGTAAATATGCCCAGAAGCTAGCAAAGACCTGATCTAATTTTACATTATCCACAAACTAATGAATAAATATGCCACATATTATTGCCACATTTTAACATCAAATCAAAACCAAACAAGAAACTTCTATCCCACCCTAAACATCACAGATCGCAAAAAATCTGGAGTGGTTGATAGTAGTTTCAGAAATGCCAATCCTCTTCTTTCTCTCTCTCACTCACACACACACATCACAATAAGCATTCCATGCTGATACAGCCTTTTATTTATCTAATACAACTCACTGAATTCCCCAAATTTTGGAGCTCATTATGATTTATTTAAAACACAAATGTATTAAGGTTTTGTTAAAATAAAAGGAAAGATTCACAAAAACAAATAAAAATATCTCATTTCAAATAAAGCATATACAGACTAAGCCTACAAGACATTCCAAGCAGGAAAAAGTAATTAGTCTTACCATGCAGCCTAAAATCTTCCTCAAAGCATTTTCTGTTGAGTTGGAATTCCGGACCTTCGGTATAACTGTACAGTTCTGCAAAAAGAGAACAAAAGTCCATTACTTTATAACACTAGACATTTATTTCAAATAGAATGGACTCTTCATTTTATATCAAGTCTTTTAAAAATTTAGTATTGAAAGATAATTTGCCACCTTGAATTGCTATCCAAGTTTAGTTTTACCAAGTTTAATTGGGCTCTGGTAGGGTGCATCATCCCAGACAATTCTGTTCAACACCCTGGCTACAAGAAAGCAGGTAGGAAAAGAAGATGCTAATCCATCACAGGTAACACAAAGCATGATTTGAAAACAGATTTTAAACAATGGCTTCACATGTTGGGTAACAACCAACCTTTAGTAATAGTTTAGATATTCAGATCTAATTCTCAACTATGTACTGTTTATGTGTTATGTCGTAAGACATATTTCCGTTTTATGGAAGTACTATAAAATAAGATTAGATTTAAAGTAGTATGATATAAATTTCTTTTTATGCTAAAATGACAATCTTAATGAAATTATGGGGGAATCCTCCAAACAGCATGATAGATGATGTTGGGGTTAAAGAATAACCAGTTCAGGTGATTTTCTACAAGCAACTCACAGGATAATACAGAATATTGACAAATTGACCACTATTTAGAAAGTTGACTAATATTGAGAAACAGAAACATTTAACAGTGTTACTACTAAGAGACTTTGCTGAAGTCCCTAAAAATAAACCATCAAATAAGCATATCAAGGAAGTGGACTCAATCCATAAAGCAAACATTCTGGAAAGAAGAGATTTAAATTTTGCAAAGAGATTCCTGCCCAGATCCTAGTGGACTCTTTAATAAAGCTGGAGGGGACTGGAGGATTCCTATTTTTTTTCTCAAGTTCCTGTATTTTGTAATTCCTTATTCCTGGTATTAAATAACATTTATTTTTCACATTTCTGAATGACCCATCTCCCTCAGAGGGACTCCTGGTATGGGGGTGAGGAGGAGAATATCCCATAGGGTGGGGACAGAGAAGGCTCTCTTCCTAGATCCCACTGTCAAAATTCATTAACCATTAACCTTCCCTCCTAAACTGGTGGGAGAGCTGATGTAGTGGGATGACTCATTGGTATGAGTCTAGTTTCCTTGATTGTGCTTTGCAGTTAAGGGGACTTGACAGTTTATACAACTTAAATCAACCAGAATTACAGTTGTAGCTGACATAGATATAAGTCAAGGCACTAGACACAGTTTTACTTCTGGTTTTACAACAGCTGTAAAACTAGTCATCATGGTCATTTAGTGAATAACATAATCATTAAGCGAACACTGTGGTCATTATGCAAATCCAACATATTCCGGGTTATTTTGCCAGAACATGGCAAAAATGGGGCAGATCACAGCCATATGGATATGGGATGCTGCAATCTGTCATAAATGCAAGCAGGTTGTCAAGTGCCTGAAGTGTGATTATGTGACCATGGGGGTTGCAGCAATCCTAACTTTGAGGATGGGTTGTAAATAGCTTTTTTAAAATAATCTGTCATAACTGAGTGGCTATTAAGCAACTTGTTGTAAATTGAGGACTACCTGTACAAAAGAAATGCCAAATGAAAACTTGTGAATGCTACTTCACCAAAACTTTATAAAGCAGTCCTCATAAAAATTATGCAAAATTAACTAGTAACATGAAACCAATGCTGGAAATTAATAGGCTACATTGCATTTCAGGTTCAAAGAACTGGACAGTCACATTCCTGTTGCACCTGTCAGTCACTTTGAGTTGTACCATGATTCAGGATGTAATGCTTGGTTTACCCAGTTGCTGACAGCTGCTTACAAGCATGCCTAACTTTGTCCATTTTGAATCTAAGCCTACTGAGCCCTACAGATTACAGGAACTGATTTAACTTTTATTTTATATAGGTCACTGAAAGGAAACTGTGCCAGATAGAAGCAAAGGAACTCAAGCAATTCTTGCTTTACCTGAGAGTTCAGCGATCCACTTGTCGGCATCTGCATATTCAAACTCAAAGTCTGGTGATTCTGAATAGCCCTGGAAGAAGATGACAGCTTAACTAAACTGTTTTCCAAGGCTGTTTTTTTAAAAATTAAAGAAGCTAAACCTTCCCCATATAGCTTCACTGTTACCATGGCAATTCATATATACGAAACTGGTACTTTCACTAGGAGTGAAGCACAGCTCAAACCCCAAAAAACCTTTGGTCTTTATTTTTTACTCTCACCCAGGATGATTTGTTACTTTGGTCAGTCACTTATGCCCCACCTTGGCTTGCCAGAGCAAACACCTTCTGTAGCTCTAGGGTGCCACTCTACCCTCAGAACTAAATCCACTAATTTTAATGGACTATTTCCAGATGAACACCTTCATTCTTCGCCCGCCCTTCCCCCTTGTAAATTATTTGCACCTAGACTGAGGGGGGAGCTATTTTTTCCACTGTATTTCACCCCTTTTATGTTATGCATCTCCAATACATTGTCATTTCAGTACAATGAAATTTATGATATAACTACAAATTCTTGACATTCTGTTATTTAGATAACTAGGAAAAAGCTTTTTTTTTTTAAGGAAGAGCTCTGTACTGTACAGAAGCAGGTCAGACTGACAAACAAAACTCTGGTGCGGTGTTTCCCAAGCTTGGCATTCTGGGAGTTGATGTCCGCTGGTCTTAAAAAGTTGCCCGGCTTGGGGAATCCTGATCTAGGGGCTACCTGGTTAAGCCTTTCGTCTGATCGAAGAAAGGCAACACTTGTGCGGAGGCGGCTGAGGGGTTTTTAAAAGAGAGGCTGAGAACCGATCATCAAAACCCAGGCCCGTAAACAGAACGAAGGACTCCCAAACCGATCCAGCTCGCCCTTCGCGACTCAGAGGCCACCGCCAAATCAAGTCATTGGGGGTTGGGGGCACTCCCTCAAGGCGCCTTGGCATCGCTCCCCAAGAGGCGCGGCCTCCTCCCGGCCCCGCCTAACCTCCGAGTCTTTCCGCTGGTTACGATTAGGCTCCCGGCCTTTCCCTCCCGGCGGCGGCGGGGGCGTCGTCGTGGTGAGTCCAAGTCCTCCGCTCCGTTGTTTGTTATTGACGATGAGCAAGCCCGGACCACCACCGCAGCCCGGCTCCATCACGACGGGCCGGCAGCTCTCGCGTAAATTGAGAGGCGCGGCACGGGAATCGCAGAGGAAACGTCACCATCTTGAGTGTGGCGGTTGAGGTGCGGCTTTGTCAAGGTGCCATCTTGAGCGTGGCTACCGTCAACTAAGGTACTGTAAGGCAGAGGTCTCCAACCTTGGCCACTTTAAGACTTGTGGACTTCAACTCCCAGAATTCTCCAGCAAGCTATGCTGGCTGGAGAATTATGGGAATTGAAGTCCACGAGTCTTAAAGTGGCCAAGGTTGGAGACCTCTGCTGTAAGGCATGCGGGACGAATGCGGAACGGAGTCGTCTTGGTTGCCTCACGCCACCCTCAAACCTCCCCTTCTGGGGTTTCCCAGAGCCTTTTAGGTGAAACTGTTGCTGGTGTCCTGCGTTGCCTTATGAGCTTTATCAACTAAATTTTAGTTCTGCGTATTCTGCCGAAATTAAGTCGAGAGTTACAAGATCTGGGTTGCAAAAATCCGAATGACCGTTGGAAGTTAACCCTTTGCAATCTCGTGGTCGCGTGGATTTTTGCAATCCAAGCGGAATTATTCAGAATTATAGAGCTGGAAGGAACCTTGGAGGTCTTCTAGTCCAATCCCCTGCTCTAGCAGGAGACCTTTACCATTTCAGACAAATTTGCAAGTTTACCTTTAAGGGTATTAGTGTGCAACAGAAATATAATAACGTTGGTCCGTGTAGTCTTTTCTTTTTTTAACCGTTTATGGTGTTGCTTAAAAATACCTTGTTATAATGTCATTTGCCAGGAGAACGAAGCCTATAGCGTATAAATTGGGACGGTTACTACCTGGAGTAAATAAAAACCAGGCTCTTTTTGCTGCTATCTAACGGGTTTGATACAGTAGCTCTATTAAAATATAACATGCCGAACGCAATTGTTTTTATAAGTGGGTATTTATTCAGTGTGAACATGGTATTTGAAATTGGGCTGATACACACCAAGAAAAATATCGTACATCTATATTAGTAGAAAAAGTACTTTATGATTCAATGTAAAAATGTAAGCGTTTAATGGAGCTCAAAATTTTGTGCCTTTTATTTTGCAGCTATGAAGAGTTAATTCATCTGTTAACACCTAATTCACAATTAAATGAAATTTTTATTAACACTAAGCTTTTATAATATTTCTAGGCAGAGGGAGACTTACTGAAAGCCAAACTTTAGGTATACCAGATGATTAAAGTTTCTTTATTCATGTGTGCTTCTTAAAGGCTATATTATCAAATTTCAAGTTCCAAAGAAAGTAACAGTACCATAAAATGTGGCTGTACAGCGACCTGGATTTGAAGGGTGAAATGTGATGTGCAGGCATTTTTGGGAAAAGATACATTGCTTTTCAGTGCTCCCTGACAGCTGCTGCATATGCCTGCCAAATTACATTTTGTTCTTCAAATCTGTATTCACTATACCATCCTGTTGAATTATCATGTTGTTCATTTTTTATAAAAAATTCAATATTTATATAAATATTTATAATATTTGCATACAAGCCATGCCCAGCCAGTCACATGACCACCAAGCCACACCCACAAATTAGGCCATGCCCACAGAACCAGTTAGTGGACCCTGGAATTTAAAATTATGTTTGGTGGTCCCTGAGGTCCAAAAGGTTGGCGACCCCTGCCCTAGACTACATTCTGGCTATTCATTTAGTTTAGTTTATTGCCATTGCACCTCGTACAACAAAATCAAACATCATCTTCAGTGCACATCATGACCATGACCATAAACACAAACACACATCCTTCACCCTTCACACATTGAACTGGAAACCTCCAACACCACACCAACACTGCACTATACAGCAGAATTCAAAACAGCTACTGCCCTGGGATAGAAGCTGTTTTTCAGCCCATTTGTCCTTGTTTTTATTATTCTGTACCATCTGACAGATGGTAATAGTTCAAAAAAAAGGTTCCCAGGATGAGATGGATCTTTGAGAATGTTTTGAACTTTCTTAAGGCAGCGGGAGCTATAAAGCTCTTCCAAAGAGGGGAGAGGGCAACCAATGGGCAATGGCATTAACCCTCTGGAGTGGTTTCCTATCTGTCAGTGTGCAATTGGCAAACCATACAGAGGTGCAGTAAGTTAAGATACTCTCTATGGTGCAGCGGTAGGAGGTCACCAGCAGTTTTTCATTCAGTTGTTGTTTTCTGAGAAATCTCAGGTGGTATAATCTCTACGTACACTATGTTAATAAACTTTAAAATAGATTTCTTACTCCAGAGATGAAAAGCTAGAGTGGGAAGTTGGAAAAAAAAATCCCATACAATTTTAGAAGTTAGCAGTAGGAACCACCTCTATACTGGTGCCAAGAAAACTGCATGTCTTTTTCCATGACATCACCAATAGTGAAGTTCAATTTAAGGACATTTCATTTTTATTTCTGCTCAGCCAGGTGGCAGCGTCTAGCTAACCCAACTGATCTAGATCTAAACAGGTTAATATTTGGATGGGAAGCCAGGATGAAATCTAGGGCCGGTAGACTAAACGGAGAAGGTAAAATCTTAGGCCATGGCAAGCCACTTCACAGATATGGCTGTTAGGTCACCAACCAATTGAAAGGCCACTTTTAAAAAATCCGTTATGGCAAACCTACCCTTTTATATGAAAAACCATGACCAGAGGATGATTCAAAGCAGTTTTAGGTTAAGCATGAATTTATGTTCTTTGTTTTGAACAGCATACTTTTATATAAGTGAATATTCAAGTAGTATCCAATCTATAAATCTATCTTTGCTGAACTTTAATAATTTTCATTAAGTTATATATTGGATTAAGTTATATACTTTATAATAAGTACTGGCAATAACAAAAAAGAACCATGTGGATTAATGAGAATTGGCTTAGATCTACTGCAGATATTTTCTAGACAGATTTTAGCACGATATTTTCCCTTGATGTTTTGTAGTTTTCGAGGATAGCACAACACAAGTTATTTCTTCCCCACAAAACTTGTTAGGGGAGGAAAGGATAGGTATGCTTCAAGAGAAATATAGTATAGATAGTCCTTGACTTACAACCACAATTGAGCCCAAAATTTATGTTGCTAAGTGAAACATTTGTTAAGTGAGTTTTGCCCCATTTTATGACCATTCTTGCTGCAATTGTTAAGTGAATTATAGCAGTTGTTAAGTTAGTAACATGGTTGTTAAGTGAATCTGGCTTCCCCATTGACTTTGCTTGTTATGTAGTAAAAGGTGATCACATGACCCCGGAATACTGCAACTGTACTAAATATGAGTCAGTTGCCAAAATTCTGAATTTTGATCACATGACCAAGGGAATGCTGCATAAGTGTGAAAACGGTGATAAGTCACTTTTTTCAGTGCCATTGTAACTTTGAACAGTCACTAACTGAACTGTTGTAAGTCAAGGACTACCTGTATATCTTCCTCAATCCATACTTCTTTTACTCTGTTCAAAAGAGGATGAGTAGGTTTCCAGTTGTAAAGAGGCAAAACAGTAATATAGCATTACTTAAGCAGAAGAAAAGAATAGTGAAGTCAGAGATAGCTTTCTAATTATTTATTCAGACTTTGCGTAATGATTATTGCTCATTTGCAAGGATTATTAATATTGCATTCATTAAAAATCATTCATATACAAAATAAACCTATCCCCATCTGGACTAATGCTATAACATGCTCCCTCTGATTGAACTGAGGTGTTGCTAGGTATGAGAATTTATTTCATGGCTTATACAGAGATGGAGCCCTTAGCTAAGATATTTATCGACATTGCAACATAGAGGCAGAGAAATGGAATGAAAAAGCCCTCCTAAACTTCTGGAAGCCTTTCTGGAATACACTCTGCTGGATTTAGCTAATTCTGTTACAAGAAATTTTAAGAGTGCTGTGAAAAGTAAACAATAAATTCAAGATGTCTTCCCAATGAAATATTTGAAAAAAAAGTATGTTCAAGCTGGGATTATTGTGCAATCAAGAAAACAATAATTTGGCCTGGCCAAACTTAAAGTCAGATTCTGAAACAGAGGGAATATGAACATCTTGAAGCAGAGCTTATCTACTAAAAGTCAATGTCCTGCATCATTCTGCAAGATTAGTAGATGTCACTATGCTACTGCCAAAAAGGAATACCTATTTGGATACTTATTGAGGGAGTCATTTAGAAACAGAGAGCAAGCATGATGGATGTGCAAATGTTTGGTGTTTCAGAGTCCTCATTAAATTGTAAGTGCTTTACTCTCTTCAGTGAAGGACTAACTACCAAAGGCCTTTATCATACAACAGTGGGACAAAACTTATGAAGGAGCTAATAATGACATGTTCAATATTTACATCTAATTTTCCACAAGGATTACATAAAAAAGCGGGGGGGCGGGGATCAAAGTTGGTCATTACGTTTACAAAATCTCTGGTTCACTGACGCTATCCCTTGATACTTCAGCAGATCAGATCCCAGCAATTGGCTTGATTCACCATCTTTCACTTAACATTTGCTTTTTCTAATCATGAAGCTCCTCTCCCCCTCTCCCTCTCCATTTCATGGCACTATAATATGAAACCCGGGCTGTACTATAATCTCTCAGGAGAGATACCAGTGCATCATATTAACTGGACAGAATATACTAATTACTAGCATAAAAAAATTAAAGCAGCAGAGCACTTGAAATAGTAGTGCCAATGGAAAGGGATCCACCTTCACTATTCATTTGGTACAAATGGAGCCTGAAGATGGAGGGAAGCACCTTACGCAATGAGTAACTCTCTCTAGCATCTTAAAACCTACCATAAATGATCATTCAAATGTTTCCTGTGCTATGTGAATGAAGGAATGGAGAACATGAGATGCTATCTCAGTTTAAGAGGGCTAATCAGGTTGTTGGTGGTCCCACAATTCTGCGCAGTATTAACTAAAATAGTCTCTCTAGTTTATCAAACCAGAAGCAAATTAATTTTTTAAACCACAGCCTTTAAGAATATGATATGGGTACACCTTGGT